CATAGCGACCCCTCCTTGGGTTTCCGAGGCAGTATCACTACGGAAGTAGGATTGCCCAACCTTCCTTCCGAGGAGTGGCTGAATACTGCTATAGGACCTATATAATAAAGCAATATATACTGTTTGAATCAGTAACTCAAAAGGTTTGGTTTCTACCTAAGGCATAAATACTGCTCAACACAATTAATTATACTTTGGTATACAATGGCTTCATCTATCCACTGAACAAACATTTATTGAACTTCTTATTGTTGTCATGTTCGGTGGTGATGAGTCCACTCTGACTCACAGTGCGCCTACATATAACGGAACAAAACACAGCCCGGTCCTGTGGCAGCCTCACGGTCCTTGCTCTACCTGAGCCCATCATTGCAGCCACTGTGTCAACCCATCTTGTTGAAGACCTTCCACTTTTACACTGACCCTCTACTTTACCAAGCATGATATCCTTCTCCAGGGAAATGGTCCTTTCTGACAACAAGACCAAAGTAGGTGAGATTTACCAAAACAAAAGAAAACAAACTCATTCCTGTCGTAGTAGATAGGGTACATGACCCAGATCTTAAAATTTTTACTAAAAATCATTGCAATAGATAAGACAGTGTAATAATATATGAAGGTTCCAAATAAGGCATAGAAAAGGAAAATCACTTTTGGAAAATAAGAAAAATTTTCAATTATGGAAATTTGTTCAATTTGAAAACAAAATGTCCCTGTATAAAAATATTTATTTCAGCCTATAATTTTTATTTGGATCATTTAAGTCTCTGGTATCTGAAAATATGCCTAAGTGTCTTAGTTCTCTAGTGCTGCTATAACAGAAGTACCACAAGTGGATGGCTTCAACAAAAAGATTCATTCCCTAATAGTTTAGGAAGCCAGCAGTCCGAATTCAGAGTGCAGCTCCAAGGAAAACTTAGGCTAGAAGTCCAGTCTGAGTTTAGAGTGCTGGCTCTAGGGGCTAGATGGAGGGCCCTTAATCTTGGACTTCACCTCTGCCTTCCAGGCCCCCTGGAGCATGCTGGATGCTTCTCCTGATTCATGCAGCTTCAGGGGCTGACAAACTCAAAACTGGCAGGCAGTATAGCTGGCTGCTGGCTGCTGAAGCTGACAAATCCAAGATTGGCAGGTAAAATGGCAGACTACCTGTGATCATGTCAAGATTGGTAGACAACACAGAAGGCTACTGGTTCAAGCTGAGGAACTGGAGATGATGATGGGACAAATGCAAGATCCAAAATGAGCAAAAAGCCAGAGACCTTTCCCAAAGCTTTTCCATATATACTGGAAGCAGACCATACCCCAAAGGCAATTCCCCTTTAACTGATTAACTGTTTACAGCAGATTCCATCAAAAAGGTTAGCTATGACAGCATATCCAATCTCATTATGGGGAATAACTACATCATAACTGTCAAGTCACTCAAAATCACAGCCCAGCCAAGTGGACACATAATATTAACTACTACACCAAATATCAAAAGTAATTAAATGCATCTATCACCCAAAGTAATAACAAGTAACTATACTGTCTTACTTTTCAGTGCTTCATTCATTACAGCCTTGTGGTTAGCCGCATGATACCAGGTGATCTCCGCACCATCTCTTGTTGTAATCTGGTTATTTCTCAGAAAATATTCCAGTATGTTTTCACTCCAGGATCCTAAAATAACAGCATTTACATTAAATAGAATAGATTCCTTATGGAGTAAAACATTTTTTAAATAAAAGGCAGCAGAGGATATATTGAGGAAAATAACAAGGTGGTTAGATTGGGGAAAACAGAAGACTTTAAAAATGGAGAATATATATTAAAAAAAAAAAAAAAACAGAAAACAGCAAATGCTGGCAAGGGTATGGTCTCCTGGAACCCTCATACACTGATGGTGCGACTGTAAAATGGTACAACCACTGTGGAAATTGGTATGGGTCTTTCTCAAGAAGTTGGAAACAGAAATACCATGTGATCCAGCAATCCCACTACTAGGTATAAAAACCAAACCAAACTCACTGCCATCAAGTGGATTCCAACTCATAAGGACCCCCTTTGGGTTTCCAAGGTGGTAAATCTTTATGGAAGTAGACTGCCCAGTCTTCCTTCTGCGGAGTGGCTGGTGGGTTTGAACCACCAACCTTCTGGTTAGCAGTCAAATGCCTTAGGCACTATGCCACCAAAGCTCCGCTACTAGGTATATATCCCAGAAAAATAAGAGCCTTGACATGAACAGATATGTGCATGCCTATCTTCATCACATTATTCACCACAGAAAAAAGATGGAAACAAAGTGCCCATCAGTGGATGAATGGATAAACAAGCTATGGTACATGCCTATAATGGAAAACTATGTAGTGTTAAAGGATAACGATGAATCTGTGAAACACCTTATGACATGGATAAACCTAAAGGACCTTATGGTGAGAGTAATTAGTCAATCACAAAAGGACAAATATTGCATAAGACCACTACTGTAAAAAGTTAAGAAAAAGTTCATACACAGAAGGACTCATTCTTTGAAGATTACAGGAGTGGTAGGGGAAGAAGGGTAAATCAGTAACTACAGGAGAGGCACGTATAAACTTGAGTGAAGGGAAAAGCAATATACAATAAAGGGGATGTCAACACAAATGATCAAGGCAGTGAAAGACACAGGCAGGAGCATAAGAGTTAAAGGCAACAAAGTTAAATATTATTACATACACAATCCTGCAATAACAGTAATAATAATCTACAGGTGGATAAACGACAAATCTGTCATGGAAGAAGTGCAGCCAGAATGCTTCTTGGAAGTGAGAATGGCCAGGCGTCATCTACCTACTTTGAACATTTTGTCAGAAGGGACCATTCCCTGGAGAAGGATATCATGCTTGGTAAAGTGGAGGGTCAGCAAAAAAGGGGAAGGCCCCCATTGAGATAGATTGACAGAGTGGCTACAACCATGGGCTTGGGTATAGCAAGGAATGTGAGGCTGGTACAGGAGCAGGCAGTCTTTCGTTCTGTTGTACGTAGATAGGGTTGCCATGAATTGAGGCCAACTCAATGGAACCTAACAAGAACAACAACAGCACAGGTGAATAAATAGATACTCAAGCTGAACAGGGGTGAGATGGCAAATGGGACTGTACCCATGAATATATATATATAGATTTGGCAAAGGATATCTGTATCTATATATTTATTTATGCTGCAAATATATCCATGAATATAGAAGAGCATACAAGGGCAGAGTTATGAAAAATTCTTAGTGATAACAAAACCCCTTGAGGGAATGAGTCTCAGAGCATAGGGATTTAGGACCATAATCTGGGGGGGGGGGGGGCATTAAGTTCAACTGGCATAGCACAGTCCACAGAGATAATATTCTACATCCTACTTTGGTGTGTAATGACTGGGGTCTCAAAAGCTTGTCAGTGGCCATCTAAGTTGCAACTATTGGTCTCTCCCCATCTGGAGGAAAGAACAGTGAAGAAAATCAAAGACATAAGAAACCAATCCATCTACAACCTTGAGACCAGAAGAACTAGATGGTGACCAGCTACCACTCACTGCTGACCTCTCTGAAAGAGATCACAATAGGAGGTCCAGAATAAAGGAGGAGGAAAATGTAGAAAAAAACCTCAAAATCATGAAAAAAGATCAGGCTTACTGGTCTGATAGAGACTAGTGGGACCCCTGAGACTATGGCCCTTAGACCCTTAAGTACTAGAACTGAACTCACCACTGAACCTCAGTTCCCAGCCAAATGATAGGCCTATAAGGTGAACAATAATACCAGGGAGGTATGCATTCATTACAACAATCAATCATGTAAGATCAAAATAACAGCATTTGCCAGGGATAAATTTAAGAAGGCAGGAAGGGATGGAAAAGAAGGACAAAGGGAAATGGTAACTACAGGGAAGAATAGGAAGAGTGCTGTTACATGGTGAGTACTGCAAAGAATATCAAAACAAAATGTAAATGAACTGTAGAATAGAAACCAATTTGCTCTGTAAACTTTCACCCAAATCCAAGAGATAGTCTCTTTCACAAATGGTGCTAGCAAAACTAGATATTCATTTGCAGAAAAATGAAACAAGATTCATAACCTCACACCATACACAAAAACTAAATCCAGAGGGATCAAAGACTTAAATGTGAAACCGAAAACTATAAAGTTTATCAAAGGAAAAATAGGGGCAAACTTAGGGTTCTATCAAGCATAACCCAAAATGCACAGATAGCAGAAGATAAACTAGATGATTGGGACCTTCTAAAAATTAAATTCTTATGTGCATCAAAAGATTTCTCCAAAAGAGTAAAAAGAGAACCTACAGATTAAGAAAAAATATTTGGCAATGACATATCTGACAAGAAAGCTATCTCTAAAATTCGTAGAAAACTCCAGCACTTCAACATTAAAAAGACTAAAAATCCAATTAAAAAATGGGCAGAAGACTTCACCAAAGAAGGCATTCAGGGAGACAACAAACATATGAAGAAATGTTTGCGATCATAGGCATTAGAGAGATGCAAATCAAAAAAAGCAATGAGATAGCATCTCACTGCAGCACTAATGCAAAGTTCAACAAGACAGAAAATAACAAATGATGGCAAGGAATGCAGAGAGACTGGGACTCTCCTACACTTCTGGTGGGACTGTGAAATGATACAACCACTGTGGAAATCAGTACAGTGATTCCTTAAAAAAATGGAAATAGAAATACCATTTGATGCAGCAATCCCATTACCAGGTATATATCCTAAAGAACTGAGAGCCAGGACACAAACAACTATATGCATAACCATGTTCATCACAGCACTATTCACAATAGCAAAGAGATGGAAACAATATAAATGCCCATCAATGGAGGAATGGATAACAAACTATGGTGCATACATACAATGGAACACTATTCAACACTAAAGAGTAATGTAAATCCACAAACACCACATCACATGGATGAACTTAGAGGACATTATGCTGAATTAAATAAATCAATCACAGAAGGACAAATATTGCATTAGTCTACTATTGTAAAAAGTCAAGGAAATGTTTGGCTATGGAAGGAAACTTTCTTTGTTGGTTACCAAGGATGGGATAGTGGTGGAGGACTGCTAGATAGGTAAAAGACAAGTATTGATTTGCATAAAAGGAAAGGCAATATAGCAAAAGCAGATGACAAACACAATAACATTAAGGAAAAGGAAAAAACAGCGAGGTGTACAAGAAATATAAACAATAAAGATAAACACTTCTACATATACAGTACTGCATTATCAGTAACAAATATTAATATATGGGTATATACATGTATTAATATATATGGGTATATGCATATATTAATATATGGGTATATGCATATATAGGTAGACAGGTTGCATCAGGTATATCTAGGAAAAAGGGAATAAACCCATGACCACATATAAGTTTGACAGACGATATTTCTATATACATATTGGTATGTGCTGTAACTCATCTGTCAGTTTGTTGTTGTGGTGGCTTGTGTGTTGCTGTGAGGCTGGAGGCTATAACATTGGTATTTCAAATACCAAAACGGTCCTCCATGGTGGACAGGTTTCAGCAGAGTTTCCAGACTAAGACACACTCAGAAGAAGGAAGGGGCCATCCACTTCTCAAAGAATTGGCCAGTGAAAACCTTATGAATAGCAGTGAAACACTGTCTGATGTATTACTGGAAAACTTTATGAAAAGCCCTGAAACATTGTCCCATATAGTGCTGGAAAATGAGCACCTCAGGTCGGAAGGCACTCAAAATACCACTGGGGAAGAGCTGCCTCTCCTCAGAGTAGAGCTGACCTTAATGATGTGGTTGGAGTAAAACTTTTAGGACCTCCATTTGCTGATGTGGTATGACTCAAAATGAGAAGAAACAGCTGCAAACATCTATTAATTACTGAAACATGGAATGTATGAAGTGTGAATCTAGGAAAACTGGAAGTTGTCAAAAATGAAATGAAATGCATAAAGATCGATACCCTAGGCATTAGTGAGCTAAAATGGACTGGTTTTGGCCACTTAGAATAAGACAATAATATGATCTACTATGCTGGGAATAGCATAATAGATCATATGATTGTCTGATGCGTAAGGCATTTGACTGCTAACCAGAAGGCTGGTGGTTCAAACACACCAGTCACTCCTTGGAAGGAAGGTTGGGCAATCTACTTCTGTAGGGATAATGCCTTGGAAACCCAAGGAGGGGTCACTATGAGTTGGGTCCAACTCTATGGCAGTGAGTTTTTGAGTGATGCTGGGATGACAAATTTAAGAGGAATGGTGTGGTATTCATTGTCACAAAGAATGTTTCAAGATATATCCTGAAGTACAATGCTGTCAGTGATAGGATAATATCCATACACTTAAAAAGAAGGCCTGTTAATACTACTATTATTCAAATTTATGCACCAACCACCAAAGCCAAAGATGAGGAAATTGAAGATTTTTACCAATTCTGCAGGCTGATATTGACCAAACATGCAATCAAGGTGTGCTGATTATCACTGGTGATTGGAATGCAAAAGGTGGAAACAAAGAAGAATCACTGGTAGTTGGAAAATATGGCCTTGGTGATAGAAATAATGTTGGAGATCACATGATAGAATTTTGCAAGACCAACAACTTATTTATTGCAAATACCTTTTTTCAACAACATGAATGGTGG